CCTGCTCGGGGGTGTCACGTACAGCGGCGAGCACTCTCCCTCTCCGCTGTGTTATCATCCAGGCAGGGCCTGCATGTAACGTACAAAGCAGCAGAAAGATTGCAGAGTGAGGTGCCAGAACTGTACCCCACTGCCTGATTCAGGTGACATTGGCATTTGTTGTATGCAGTCTGGCCACAGGTCAAGTAACTATATATCACTTTAGAGTTTAGACAAATACAGTGCAGTTCATTTCATTCACATCTCATTTTAATGAGAATTTGCCTCTAGTGTTTCATTAAAGAGGACAGAAAACCTGCCTTTCATGTGGTTTCCTAGCTAATTGCTGATTATAGAGGAATTACATAATACGATCACAAAACATGCCTCTAATCTCAGTCTTTTTCACAATAATAGACTTTGATATGAAAAAGGATTTTCAGTCCTTGGTAGATGGTGTACAAATTTAGATGCTGAGGGTTTAACGCTGCAGGTATGGCTTAGCCTACTTCAAAAAAAAAAGAAAAAAAAAAAAAAGAAAAATAAGAAAATTAAGTTCTGCATTCCTAACTTGCAAATACTTTGCTTTCTGTCCTCCTGTTCAGGAACCCTGGGATGCGCAACACATTCCAGCACTGTTCTCTGCTTTCTGTGGTTTGCTAGTTGCACTTTCTTATCATCTCAGCAGACAAAGCAGTGACCCATCTGTACTGATGTAAGTTGCCTGCAAATCTTATTTATTGATTACTCCGTACAGCGCACAACCAGAGTGATGCCTGGGTTTCAGAACCGCAGGGACTGTCTCCCAAAAGTACTGTGGTGAGGTAGAAATTCCTCACCATGTCTGCCTGCTTGGTATCAGTCCTGTAAATAAATGAAGTGCTGCAGTCAGATTATCAGTAAGGCTGGTGCTCTTTAAACAGCACTATCCAAATTCTCTGAAGCAGATTTCACCCTCTGGGAAATTATGTGCTTGCCGTGTTGGAGGATAGCGATTTAGTTGAGGGGGCTCTCAGGGTACTGGAGTTGCAGAATGTGCATTGGTTAGCACCGTGGCAAGGAGAAAGGGCATTTGACATGCTGGGAAGATGGCTCAATTCCAGCTCTTGCTGAGGGTCACTGTCAGTAGGCTGTGCTTCTGTTTGAGATTAACTCCTTCCTTTTCTGTGCTGGTACAGTCTGCTAAAGGTAGCTGAGGAAAGGTAGTGTGTATTAAGAGCTGCCACTGAGAACAAGGGAGATCCAGGGGAGAAGTTCCCAACATTGTGATCTGCAGGTTGAGGTGATGTGAGAGAGGCCCGTAGATCCATAGCTCAGGGGTGGCAGACATGAGTTGTCCTGTGTGGGAACTGTGCTTTAGGGCTGTCATGGGGGCTGTGGTGTTCCACAAGCAGCTGGGCATCTATGTATGGGATTAAGTAAGCAAACAGGTTTTGTGCAGCCGGTATCACCATGCCATCTGGGATTCTGCTTCACAGACAGCTCAGTCTTATCCTAGAACAGTGCAGAGGGCCTGTGAGGTTCTCTCCTTTGACACACGAGGTGTGTTGTGTGTGCTTTGAGGTGAGGCTCTCTAGTGTATGAAGATTGTAGTAGGCGTACGGTAAGTCAGGGTGGTTGGACGCACAATTCTGTAATGCGGGAGAGACAGAGGGGGAGTGGAGGGCTTTTTAGGCCATTCAAGATTATGTTTGAGGAGAGAAACTTGGGAAAAGGAGAAGAATTCTGATGAGGAAAGAAAGAATATAGGGCACTAGTGGAAAATTGGCATCCCAATTCAGTAAATCTTACTGAAGAGTTGAGAAATTCCTTCTTTACCATCCAGAAGATTCAGAGAATCTGATACTTATACATTACTAGGTTCTGATGTGGCAAAGCAACAAGAACTGCTTATATCTATTGCCGTTAACTTTATCCAAAGTCTACTGTGTCTGGCACTGATGTCAGTTTGACCTGGATCAAGCTTTGTGTAGGTAGTGTGTAGTTCATCAACTATTACAGTGTGGAACTCAGGTATGGAAGGAAGTGAAGCTGTGTGCTGTATTAGGGAGATTTGTTTAGCCTTGGAGGAAAATATACACAGGTAAATTGCAAATCAGCATGGAAGCGTGAGCTCTTTCAATTTTGAAGTAATTTAAATGTATTCTTCTCTCCCACTCCCCAGGAAGGACACACCAGTTCATTAACTTCTTTAATAAAACAGAAACTTGTCTTTCCTTAAAACAAAAGTTTTAAGGAAGTAATCTTAAACCATTAAATCCATTTTAACTTTTAAATTTAGCTAGTGATTTTATAATGTTCTTAATCAAATCTTCAGCAGCTGAAATGGTTGTTAAATATCTTAAGATTAAGAATACGTGTATAACAACATCAAATGTTTATTATGCAATCATGATAAAAATGTATAATCCTTAAAAAAAGAGGTTTAAGATTTTTTTTTAAATGGCTCTGAACTTAATTAAAGGAAGTTAAGGAGATTGGAAACAGTATTTAAGGGATGGCCTGTGGCATAAACGTCAAGATGGAGGAGGAGGTAGCACATAAATCTTGAACTGAAGATTAATATACAATTTATGCAGAAATAGCCTCTTTGTTTAGACCCACATTAGAAAGGCCAGTTTCCCATATTGGTTTCAGCTTAGCTGAAACATTAATAAAGGGCATGAATGAAACAGTACCCTCTCTGCACATTCCTCTAAATGACTGAGTCACATTGATTGGACTGCTGAGGTGCCTTAAGATTTTGACAAGGAGGTTCTGCCCTGATCACAGGTAGAGCTGGTTTGTGTCAATCTCCAGCTATACAGAGATAAGATAGCTACTGCATACATGAGGAAGGAAACCTGAGGCCACTTCTCCTCCTCTGCCCCCCAGGAATATTCATATCTGAAAGACATGTTCAGAAGCATTCTAACTAGGATTTTTTTTTTAACAGGTCTCTTATTCAATGCAAATATGTCCCTCACTTTCTGCGTCAACAATTTGAAGATTCATCAGCAGATCCACTCCCAGAAAAGATGAGAGAATCAGTGGTAAGACCTTTTCTTTCATTACTTCCTGTTCAAAGCTCTCTCCCATCCATTTTCTCCACTGAGGAACTTTTAAATATTCTCATTTATATACATCATATACTTATAAAAGCACAGAAAATGGGAGGATCTCTATCCTGTTCCTTTAAATCCACAGATGGAAACTGAGAGAAGTTCTTCTAGATCTTCTTTCCAGTGAGGCTGGAAGGGAGAAGGGGGATATTGCAATTTTGCTTTCTAAAAGGGTTCCTTTGAAGGACTCGGCAACATTAATTCCTTAATACAGTTGATGGGAAATGCACTCTTAGAGCTTGGGGAATGAGGCATCTCATCCTGGTACTCAGAGAGCTAATGCAGGTTCTGTGCATAGAGTTACAGCCTGGCAACCTGGTGCATACAAGGTAGGCTGGATTGTTCAACGAACATTCAAAAAGGTAAGCAGTCCTGCCAAACTCCCTGTCTACGTTGGAGGGGGACAGGATTTGGTCCACAGAATTAAGTGTCTTTAAAACAGCCCTGATTCTTTCTTTTTCTAGGGCTAGGAGTTGACCTGGTTTTCAGGAATACTTGACTGTATGCCCTCCACCCCAGCCAAGCCAGGTGGAGCACAGACCAGACTTGCCACCTGGAGGTGGAAGGAGCATGTGAAACTTGACTAGTATGAGAGAGGGAGGTACATGCCTGGTTCCCAGCATTGCCGTCTCATCCTCTCTTCTTTGCTTGGCAGGCTGTTTATTTCCTACTGTCCGGCACGTAGCTCTAAGTTTGTGTCAGCTTATTTCCCACTTTAGCTTAAACATACAAAGTGACCCATCTTCCTTTTTGTGTCTTTTTATATAAAAAAACCTCACTGTTACCCAGGGGAGGCTGATGTTCTAAAGAGTTCATGTGGGAAGGTCATCAAGTTTCCAAAAGTATTAAGGGGTGTTTGACATTTCTTAGAGTCATGAACTGTCCTGCTTCCCGGCTGTCAGACAGCCCTTCCTCCTGACCACATCCCTAACGCCTGCATCTGAGCATTTGCAATCTAGGCAATTATTCCTAAGTTCCTGAATGTTTGCAGAAGCAAGGAGTGTTCAGAGAGTGCCTGAAAGACAGACTGCCTTTTTTTTGACCCTTAGACATGACCTAAGAGTCTATAGCGCCTAGTGGTACAGGTTGCTAGTGAGGTAGCTGGCCTGGCCTGGCCTCCAGATGTCCCTTCGAAGGGATGCATCTGTCCTGTACATCTTGTATCATATTTGTTGGGCATTTTATAAGGTGTTACACAGCCTACATTCAACACATGAGCTGATCCCACACTACCAATGTTTTCTACTTTTCTTTGCTAAGCTGCTGCTTAGATTGTTATTTTCTACCATGTATAATGTTATTTTAAACTGCTTACTCTAATAAGGCCCACATAAGATTAAGTGATATGCCTATTTCTTGTTGCTTGTGTTGAGCTACAGTTCATTGCAAACTAAACTATTTGCAACAAGGTCACACTGCAATATGAATGTCCAGCTGGTAACAGAGTAAAAACCCAAGTATTTATGTTAAAGTTTTGCTATATTCTCTAGTATTTCTGGTGTGTAGGTTATTGCCACAGTTCATTGTCAGTCCATTCTTGTACGTGGGCACTGTATGGCAGATGCAATGGAAAGCTTCTCGTTTCCCTGTATTTATATCCCACTTGTATCTTTTGCTGATAGTGCCCTTCTTAGAGCAATACAGAGTCTGATCTCATCTGTTCTGCAGATGGAGACTGAAGCAGTTATTGTGGCTGTCCGCTTAGTTGGTTTCATTTCACAGCGCAGAGGGAAACCTTGAGCAAGGCTTCAATATATTGAAAACAAAAACCAAAAGAATGAACAAATTCTCATCTAAAATCCTGGCTGTATTTTCAAAACAGAGTCATGTTGCAAACTCTTGACCTATTTTTGTGTCAACAATGTGGACAGGGATCTGACATTTTATACCAACAGTTACCATGTGGTTCAACCGCACTTGGGCCACTGAGCCACTGGGGTGGAAGATGCAGAAGCGTAGGGAGGACTGCGGTGGGACTGGCCAGACATAGGACTTCAGTTCTTCTCTTCACCATGGCTCATTCCTGTCATGTTTTGCCAGTGTTTTTTTGCATTTAATTAAGTGGGATTCCTGGCACCTTTTGCTTTCCAGGATGTACCTGGTTTTGGGGATTGGCACGTTTTTGCTCTGTACATTTGATACTCCATGCTGCTGCTTTTAGACGGAGGCTGCTTTCCTTCAGTGCTGCTGGAGCTTGCTAGTTCTTTGCCTTAATTTTTTTTCTCTGTCTGGGCTTCCCTCAATCTGTATAAAAACTGTAAGCAAATGTGTTTGCTTACAATGTCAATTAGCAGTGCTAATTCTTCCACACTGGGAGATCTCTTGAAGAAAGAGAGGGCAATTTCCGATTAATGCAGGCTCTTTGTCTAACCCCTGTGTTATCTGGTACCTCTGTCTCAATTAAACACTAACCAGTTTGCCAGGAGACTCCCACTGCTGTCTCACAGTGCAGTGCTAATAGAGCAAGTAGGGAAGAATTGAGGCAGGAGAAAATGCATGTGCCTCAAGTTTGAGGAGCACAGTCAAGCCACAGTCTCTGCTGACTTGCTTCAGCAACAGCAGTCATGTTTAGGATGTAGGACTCGGCTGACTATTAAAAGCCAATTTTAAGTAGCTTCCAGAACTTCTGCAAGGGGATATTCAGACAGTTCAGAAACTGGGTGAAACAATATGTCAGTATTTGAACGGGATTTCATGGTGGTAGTTCATTTTTTCCTCTTGGAGTGCTCCTCTGCGAGGAGAGTATTCCTAACACCCTGTCAGGGGCAAGAGATGGCAGGATGCAACACAACAGCCAGCCTTGCCCTGGTCTATATACAGACATCTGGTCTACAGAACATACCATTTAAATAAGACCCATTTTAATCAGAAATCCTGAGGTGTATGGAACCAGATCACTTCCTCAAGGAGCTGAAAGCAAACAAGGTTAATATTGAAAATTAATGTGTTGTATTCTGTAGTGGCTTTGCATTGATGTTAGGAATAATAAATACAGCATCTCTAATGTTTAGTTACATGACCTTTACTATTTTCCTTTGCTTGAATAGCTGTGTAAGAATTGCCAGCTTTGGAAGCCTGAATTATAAAGCAGCTGTGATGGATAATTGACCATTCAACTTTGAGAATGGAGCTTCCTACCATTATAATTAATTTCTATAGGCATCCACATGGCTGATTACTAGATTAACCAGTGGCCTGAGGGTGCTAATGTGTTACATTCAAACTCAGCTTCCTTCCTGGCCTTTAATACAAACATTTAGATAGCTAGTAAAAGGATTTGTACAAAGCTCCAAAAGCATAATTGAAAATAATAATTAAAAAAAAAAAGGCGCCACTATGGTATATTCTGCTTGTAAAATCTCTGAAGCATCAAATGTGATGTTGGTTTGGGTTTTTTTTTTTTCCTTGAGTGTAAAATGGAGAAAAAAGAACACCTGCTTTCAGCCTAAACGATAACAGTGATTATCTCTCACTGCAGAGATTTTAACTGTGATCAGAGCTTAACTTTTCCACGTTGGACCAGCTGCAATGAAGGACTCAAGCATCACATTATAGGGCTATTCAACATTCAATTCATAAGTGTCTGGCCTTGGGAATGGAATCCAAAATCCTGCTTTAGATAGTTGGGTCTAAATGCAGGACAGAGAATAGAGTTGCGTCCAAGGTAGGCGCATGCTTTGCAGGAGGGCGCAGGCTTGGCGGGAGCTAGCTGCCTGCAGCAGGAAGGGTGGAAGCTGCAGATCCACCCGCAGCAGCCTGTAGGTGGAAGCCCAAGGTTTTTTTCCTGGAAGGTAGCTCGGAATCCCCCTCGGTCAGAGATGACTGCCCAGGGTCAGCCCCTTCCTGGGGGGCCCTGACCACTATGCCATGATGTGAAACAAAAGCAACTACTGCTCAGCCTTGTTTTAGAAGGAAAAAAACCCTGAATTTTGTGAGAAGTTTGAAAGTGTCTGCCACATCAAGAAGGAGCTCCCGTGGGGACCTCTGTGAAAGTCAGCAGCTGAGCAGTACATTTACGTTTTGAAGCGTTTTTGTGCAAGGGCAAAAGGGCAAGCCTGGGCATATAAGATGATACTTTAAACACTTTAGATGTTGCCAGAGTTGGAATGCAATTGTCAGATTTGGGTTTAAATACCTGAATAATAATCTTTGCTTTAAAAACATAGGCCTGTTCGTGTATGGGATTGTTAATGTTTCAGAAGCAGTGAGAGCACCCTAAAAAGAACACTTGCAAACTCAAAGATGGGAAAGATGGGAAATACCAGTCCTGTGCAATATAACTTGTGTAATACGTTTTCTTTGGAATGTAACCTTTTAAAAAGATTCTCTTTGGTGAGCTGGCACTGAATGGAAAGTTAGGATGCCACCTCTCCCCAGAATGTCCATTATTATCACCTCTGCTGATTTTACAGCTAAATTCTTAATATTTGATGTCATTCTTAAAATGGCAGCTTCTTCAGATTGTGAGAGAAATAAGTCACTTTAATAGTAATCCTTTCTGGTGGTACAGAAGTGCTTGAAAATATGATTGGAGTATGTTTGTTGTTCTTACAAACTTGTTTCAGATTATTGAGTAGTTGGATTCAGCTGTGCAGAAAATGATACTTGATCAAGACTTTTCATAATATGTGTTCACAAAAGGGCTGAAATAATACCATATGAATTTGGCACTGCTTAACTTTCTCAGATGCTGAATTTTACAAGCTAAATACTGTTACTTTACGTAGATTTTGTATGCAACATCTTTAAAAAAAATTGGAAAGGCTAAAAAAAATTCTTTCTATTACATGCATTGGTAATAGTTCCCTTATCCATCTTTATTAGGGCTTTGACCATGGTTTTTCAGTACTGGTCCGCATACTAAAAACATTTGAGTTAAAGATGGATACACAACTTGCTAGTGAGAGAAGGTCTGAACCGAATGGAGAGGACCTGTGGGGACAGGCAGGGATTAAAGATTTGTTCAGAGAAGAGAAGGCCTTTCCTGTGAGGACCCTCACGCTGTGGTTCTCCTGTTGCACGCCACAGCCAAGAAGCAAGGAACAAGGCCAGCAGTATTATGTTTTCAAAAGATGGTTGTGAAGAGTTAGGAAGACCTAACTCTGCTCCTACACCTTCCCACCTATAGACCATGCAGAGTACCGGGCTGTCTGGAGAGGGCACAGCTCTCAGAGGGGAGGGAGGGCTGTTCTTTTGGAGGTGCGTGCTCCTAAGCAGCCTGGGAAAGGGAAGGATAGTGGCGATCGCTTGAGAATTCAGCTAAACCGGATTGGAGTTTCCTGGGACAAAGCAAAAGTACTTTTTGAGCCTGAAGGCTTTTTAGCCCTGCTGAATTTCAAAGGCCTGCTGCAGTAAGTGGAAGTGCTGATGCTTCTGACCTTTTACTAAGAAGCATCTTTTATAACAGGGAGTGAGAGGCAGCCTAAATATAGTTGTTGCTACCAGCTTCCCTTGTAATTCGCAACCCTTCTGTTGTTCACTTGTTCTGCTTGCTTTCTTTTTATCTCCCTTATTTCATAGGTTTGCTATCCCATCATTATTTTAGTTTTCTTTCTTTTTCTCTGATGAGATACATGAAGACTACCTATATTGCAGCACGAGGAAATTGGATGAGCTTCTAATACTAACAAAAGTGTTGCATTTTGTATGTTGTTTCTAGATGTCTTTGAATTTGAAGAATAAGTCAGTTTCTAAACCAAGAGCTACAAACAGTTACTCATTTGATAACTTAGCAGTGGTATTGAGCGCTGAACTTAAATGCCCCTCTCATAAATCTAAGGCAAGATTTTCATTTACTCACAAAGACGTTTGGGTGGCCTCTGAGGTTCAATTCAGAAGATCGCACAGCTCACAAGCTATCTTGTTTATTTGTTTACTGAGAATGACATTTTAATCACAAGAAAAACAGGCTGGAAAGACAGTGATGTTTTCCAATCTTTAGAAACAAAATTAATCCTACCCTAGTTACAGATCTTTATGTAAAGTCAGACGTGTCCTTTCATTATCATTCAGTGGCACTAGAAAAAGGCCTTGTCTGTAATCCATAAAATCATGCTGAAATTTGGCTTCCAATGCAGAAAATCAGAGAATGGGACGTGTCACTTTAGAACATAATAAATATATTAACTTCGTGTCTCTGAAGACATTACAGAAAAGCATGAGTCATTTCAGTAATGCAAGAGAAAGTGAATCTGAAGAAACCTTAATGCTTGCAAATGGAACCAGAATTTTGATTCCCAAAAATAAAAAAGTCATAATATAAAAGAGTTATATTCCTTAAACAGAATCAGACTCGGTATGAAAATGTATTACTTTCATTTCTCCAATCTTAAAACTATGTTATTTAAAAATATAATTTAAAATTAGGCATGATGAATTCAAATGTGATTAGTTTGACAGACCTAAAGTGTGAAGAAATAATTTCCCAAAGCAGAGTGGAGAAAATACTTTTGTATCAGGGAGTGCTGATTAGCCTTATCACAATGCAGACTGCGAGTAATTGAGAATGGACTCATTTACTTTGGTCAAAATAGTATTGGCTTGCTAATTTTGTATAAAATAATTATTTTCACAGAAAGAAATCTTGAAATCGGATCTCATTGTCTGCACAGCGGCTGCTGTTCTGTCATTTGCTGTCAGTGCCAGTACTGTGTTTCTATCATTAAGGGTGTGTATCTGTCCTTCTTCCCCCCCCCCCCCCCCACGCTATTCAAGGTATTATCTCTTTTATGTAAAACCACAGGGTGCTTTCACTGGAAAGAATAGAGATTGTGAGAAAAGAACTTAGTGAAAATGTATTTACTTTTCATGGTAACATTTTTTTTATGTGCAAGGCAGTTAGTTTGTGGATATTTGTATTACTTTTAGTGTTACTTATTTGACATCTCTTTCCTTAAACCTCTGCATATTCACAGCTCTTTTATGATGTGGAACCTGGGGGACAGAATGAGTAAGCCTGATCACTTGCCTTTTTTCCTCCAATTAGGGAGGAAAAAAATTGGTTCATTTTGTGTGCAAAATACATATTTAAAAATCTATATCCACCTGTGGAGTCAGAGAGTTTGAACATAGGAATAAAAACTAATTGCACAAAAATACAGTTATAGGAACTCTTAAAAACTGTTAAAAAAGTTTTATATAAAAATGTTTGCAAATTATAACCATGTATCATTTTTCTCTTTTGGCCCAGCCATTTCTCAGCATTGTCCTGTTTGCTTTAGCTTGGACTGTGGGATTTGTAACACATTACGTACTTCCTCAGCTTCGCAAGCATCACCCCTGGCTGTGGATCTCCCACCCCATACTTAAAAGCAAAGAGCACCAGCAACGGGAAGTGAGAGGTTTGTAATAAAATCTTTTCTAAACAATGGATGCAATGACTTGCAGCTTGTCTTGGTTTAAAAAAAAAAAGAATCCAGAAGGAACAGAGCAGGGAGAATAAATCATGCTTTGCATTTCCCTCTTTTGAATAGCATGCATAGCCCATCTTTTCCATTTCCCTCCCCCCCCGAATCACCAGCATGTCTGTGAACCTGTAGAATTTGTCTCCTGAGAGCACTGCACAGAAGGGCTGAGGCTGGGCAGGCACCTCTGGAGATTGTCTAGTCCAATGCCCTGGTCAGAGCAGGGTCAGCTAGAGCAGGTTGCTCAGGGCTGTGTCCAGCTTTTAATATCTTCAAGCATGGAGACTCCTCAACCTTTCTGGACAACCTGTTCTAGCATTCAATCATCCTTACAGTAAGAAAGGTTGTTTTGGTTGTTTTTTTTTTTTTCTTATGTTGAAATGGAATTTCAGTTTGTGCTCATTTCCTTTTGTCCTGTCACTGGGCACTACTGATAACTGGCTCCATTAACTTCACCCTCCCCATCAGGTATTTATACCCACAAAATGACCCCAGTCAGGCATTAATAAGATGCCCCTGGAGCCGTTTCTTCTCAAGGCTAAGCAATCCTGGCTCTCTCAACTTCTCCTCCGATGTCAAAAGCTCCTGTCCCTTAATCATCTTACTGGCCCAAAGTGGCCTTTCATGACCCATCGTCTGAGCTGCCTTTTGCTTTTACATTACAGTAATGTTACTTGCTGCGTTGCTTGGTATGTTATAGCTCATGCTTAATACATTGGCATTTTATATAATTTAAAAACTTAAATGATTGATGAAATTGAGGAGAATTTTTTGTACTTTCTGACATATAACTATATATCATTTGAACAGCATGGGTAGTGCAAGTTAGAGTTCTAATTTCCATCATAACACTTTAGAGAAACATTAAAATTGAAAGGAACCGTGAAATTTTCTTGAAGACTCATTCTTGCTACTGTCCGCTGGCTTCAGTGGGTAGTGCCCTGATACATGTGAGTATCAGTAAATATTTTAGTATGTTGAGGTCTGATTTTCTGTTCTAGTACAGTTATTTCTGCAAGCAGACAGTGTACTTTGAGAAGCACAGCTTCTCTGCCCCCCCCCCCACACCCCCCCCCCCCCCCCCAGCTCTCATCTTGCCTTTGCTACCAGCCAAAAGCTTGCTTGTCATTTCTTGATGGATCTTGTGCCTTAATCATTCTCAATATATGTTCCTGAGGTGTTTGAAGACAGTGTTGTCAGAACACAGTCTGCTGAGGGACTTTAGTCTGTTCTTCAACTAGACAACAAAAGAGTTCAGATCACTCTCTGCAAAACCATGCATTAAGGATTTAAATCTTTTTTTTGAAAAAAATCATGTCTTTCAAAACGATTACTTTCCACGCTTTTCCACTTGGGTATGAAAAAAAGTACCCAAGAGACTTGATTGAAGGTTGCCTTTTAACTTTTGCTGCAATACGCCAAGGAAAGTATAGTAGAAATAAAAATCTTATTAAGGATCGTGCCCAACTGAAAACATTGTTCAGGGCTTCCTCTCCCTGACAATCAGTAATTCTGATGAATACCCAAGTTTTATTGTTTGTTACATCACTTAATCATAAAAGACTGCTGTAGGATTTCTTTCTCTTGTCCTGATTAAGTCTGTCTTCATTTGTCAGGAAACATTGTTTTCCTAAATGCAATGACTCAGCTTTTGAAAAGGTTGAGGGTAGAGACTGATCTCCACAGATGGGTTTCCTTCTGCTTTGAGATCAGTTGCATTTCCCATGCTACCCGCTGCGGGCAACAGGCTTTTTTTCCTTCTTTTGCAGTCCTCATTTTATATGTGGTCCATTTCCGCACTTTGGGGCTTAAGTATTATTGCAATGTATGTGGTGGTGCGTGTTAGAAAACAAGAGTAAAAAAAAAAATATATATATATTTCAGTCTGTTAGACTGCTGCAGAGGCTTTTTATCATGTTCTGAGATGAGACAGGCTGAGGAAAAGGTTGTGTAGTCCCTTTGATAGATATGTCTGACAGGCTGTCTTCTTTCTTTTACCCTGTGAGAAAAATGTAGGAGCTGAACTTAAAGGTTCCCTGTTTGTATAACAAGAGAAGCTTGGAAAAGGACAGTATCCTGTAGTTGTCAGTTGTGGATAATGAAAGGACAAGTACACAAAACAAGATAGAATCATAGAATCATAGAATTGTCAAGGTTGGAAAAGACCCTTAAGATCATCGAGTCCAACCGTTAACCTATTGCTGCCAAGTCCACCACTAAACCATGTCCCCAAGCACCATGTCTACACGTCTTTTAAATACCTCCAGGGATGGAGACTCAACCACTTCCCTGGGCAGCCTGTTCCAATGCCTGACTACCCTTTTGGTGAGGAAGTTTTTCCTCATATCCAACCTAAACTTCCCCTGGCGCAGCTTGAGGCCGTTTCCTCTCATTCTATCGCTTGTTACGTGGGAGAAGAGACCGACCCCCACCTCGCTACAGCCTCCTTTCAGGTAGTTGTAGAGAGTGATAAGGTCTCCCCTCAGCCTTGTCTTCTCCAGACTAAACAACCCCAGCTCCCTCAGCTGCTCCTTGTAAGACTTGTGCTCTAGACCCTTCACCAGCTTTGTTGCCCTTCTCTGGACACACTCCAGCACCTTGATGTCCTTCTTGTAGTGAGGGGCCCAAAACTGTACTCGAACTGAAGCCTTGCCAGTGCTGAGTACAGGGGCACTGTCGCCTCCCTGGTCCTGCTGGTTACGCTATTTCTGACAC